AAGATATAAAGGCATATAGTATAGTAGATGTAAGGGGTTCTATTAGGAAATAATACATCTTTCTAAAAGCTGTTCTATATTGTTAATAACTTCTTCCGACCGAAGTAAAATGGCAGTTTTCAAACTTATATATAGGTTTTAAAAAAGATTGTCTCCTGCTACCAATCCTAAAAAATAGGGACTTTTTCTTAGAGAGTTAGGTATGGGACAATCTTCCGATTCTTTACAACACGCGTAATCTCGAGATTAGAGGAGGAAGAAAAGATCTGGCTTAAGAAGCTTATCTTAGTTTAAGCATTATTATAGTTTGTAAAGATCTGAAAAACAGAAGAAAAGGACTTAATAGTATCTTCTAAAAATAAGCCAGATAACTGCAATTAACTCATAATTCTAAAACTACTCTATAAGTAATAGATATAAAAGGATAGAAGCAGAAAACTCTATAAAAGCAGTTTGTTTTACTTTAAAACACACTTTTGTATAAATATGATCTATTATATTTTAACACGCAGCTAAAGCGCCCGCCGCACTTTATATATTTTAGTAGACCTAGTAAGCAGAAAATTATATCTAAAACCCAGAATTACAGGTACTTGGGGCCAACTAGATTAAATATATTAAAGATCTTATTCTTATATTTAGAAAAGGCTTTTGCAGAACCTACTATAAAAAATATAGTACCTAGTATTAAACTAGATAGTTGTTAGAAAGTACATTTGTCGAGAAAGACTAAGTAGGTAGTATAGCATAGGATCTTAAACAGGTTTGGGTCAACAGGGTATTTAGAATTATTAAGGTTAAAGGGGTCAAAGGAGTTAATTAGATTAGGTGTAGAGATTTGTATTATATCATACACAGCCCAAACAGAGCGGTAATTATATATCTTTACATATATTTCTTACTGTAAAAGCAATAATTTTGTTAAAAGCTGGAATTTATCAGCACCACCAGGAATTTCTTATTATTTTTTAAAGATAAAGATAAAGGAGATAGTAATACTTTACTTAGTTACCTTTATTTAATTTAAAAAGCTTTCTTTTGTATGCTTTTAGGCAACAGTTAAAATAGTCAGATTAATAACCTGTTAATCTAAATATACCTTAACTGTACTAGAGTTAAAAAAGGTATAGTAGGTAGGTCTTAGTACTAAGAACGGTTAAGACAGTTAACCGCCCGATTTTTAGCTATACCGCGGTCAGGTATAAAAATTTCTTTAACCTGGCCATAACCTGGCGGTTAGGTATAAAAATTCCAATTAACCTGACCTGACCTGGCCGTTAGCCACTCTAGGCTATCTATATTTTAAGTTTAATTAAAACTAGTAGTAGTAAATTAATTATTACTATAAATTATATAACTATTTTTTAAATTTATTACAGTACTATTAAAGACTAAAGATATTACTATTTATCTAATTTTTACTATTTATAACAAATTTTTTAAATATCTAAAGAAATTTATTAAATAGTTTAAATAAAAGAAAGTACTATAGAAAAAGCTAATACTTACTAATTTTTATATAATATAAATAAAGCTTTTCTATTACTATAGTAAAATAAATAATATAAAGAATAATATTTTTACTATTAATATAATACTTGTACTATAATATAAGCTCTAGTTTTTTTAAAATAAAAATTAAAATCTGAAATAGCTTACTAAATATTAGAAAAATCTTATTAAATATTTTAAACTATATTAATAAGTAGAGTTAAAATAATAGTTAAAAAGTAATATACTAAAGTTCTTTAAATCAAATAATAATATTAATCTTTTTTAGATAATAGAATTAGATTAACCCAGTCTAGAAAATAAGAAGGATAATCTTATAAAATATCTTAACAGTTATATATTTTATTTTTTTATTTTTTATTTTAAGTTTTTTTTTTAATATTTACTTTAGCTACTATTTCTGTAATACCAGTTTAGATATTCTAAAAAAATAATTAGTATATATATTCTTTACTTATAAAGCTTATTTATAATATACTTTCTATTTCTATTACTAGTACTAGTATTAAGTAATTTTTTAATTTAGCTTAAAATATCTACTACTACTGCTAAGATTTACTAAATATAATTATAATACAAAAACTTATATTATATAGATATATAATATAGTTTAAAATAAAAAAAGATACTATTACCTAAAAAAAGAAATTTCTTTTTAAAAAAAAAATTAAAATTAACTAAAAGAAGAAGTATAGTTTTCTTAAAAAAAGTATTAAGCCGATTAGTAATAATAAAAATTATTATAATAATAAATAAAAAAAATAGTAAAAAAAGCTGTTTTTAAACAACTAAAAATACTAGTTTTATTAGAATATATAATAGGTAAGAAAAAAAAAAGTATTAGTTTTAATATAAATAAAAATCAGACAGTGCTAGTAACTAAAGAGGAGAAGGATAATAATAATAATAAAAATAATAAAAATAATCTTTTATTAGAAACTTAGCTACAGATATTAGATAGAGTTAGAAAATATCTATATTATAATAATAATTAATTTATTCTGTATTAGGTATATATTATATATAGATAAATTAAATTCTTTAGTTTTAACTACTATAAATTTATATATAACTGGATACCTTTTATACTAGATTATTTTAAATCTAAATATAATACTTTAAAAATATAGCTGAAATTATATAACTTATACAACCTACTGATCTTATAGTATTTATTTAGTTTAATAATCTATAGGTATCTGCTAAGAACCCATAGGTTGGATAGCTAAACCTATACCCAACCTGCAGGTTGAGCCCATCAACCCAAAACCCGCCAAGAACCGGGTTGGGTTTGAACCCGACCCGTAAACCCGCGGGCTTTGGCGAGGCCTAACCTGGCCGTTAGCCACTCTAAAATTCCTACTTCCATCTACTGCTTTATAATATGTTCCACAATGGGTTCTCAGCTTATACAACTATACTATAATAAAGATTATTTGTTCAGCCAGCTTTAAATATATTCTTATAGTTTAGCTTAAATAACAGAATACTGTAATCCGCCTTTTATACTCTCCTGTAATATAAAAGGAGTAGCCTTTATTTTTATAAGTAATAAGAATATATTCAGCTATCTCTTATTTTATTTTTGATTCTTAAGGACTCTTAGTGGTTTAAACTAGAAGTAAATAATTTAGCACATCCGCAGTGTTATTAATAAAATTAGATAGACCAGCTAACTAGGATATTTTTTAATATATTCTTATACAACTTCCTAATAAAGGCTGTATATTTAAAGTTTCCTAGATACCAACTTGTTGCTATACGCTGCTAAATAAATACTTATTTTATTATTTTAAGCTAAAGATGTTGTACTTAAGCTATTTTGTACATAGTCTGATACTAAAAGTAAAAAATACCTATAATAATCATATATCTCCCTACCAGGGCATGTATTTACAGCACTTTGGAAGAATATTTAAAGTAATACTATATAACTCTGATATATTATAATAAAAAAGAGTACCGAGTTTGATTCTGTCTCCAAATCAGTAATTCTTAAAGAAAGGAAACTAAACTAAATATCTTTATTTATAGGTTAAATGATTTAATATATATCTTTAGAAAAGGCATGGTACTCTCTGTACTGCTAAGCCTTATTTAGCTTTTTAGATATTTCTAAACTAGTATATTACATATATTTATAAATAGACAAGTTTTAATGCCTCTAGTACAGTTAAATATTGCAAGGTCTAAAAGGGTAGTAGGTAAAAAAAGTATAGGTTTTAAGTAATTATAGGATATTATTAACCTATAAGTAAAGCCTTTTTAGTAATTTTAATTAGAACTTAAATTAATACTATTAGTACTTAAGGGTATTTTAATATTAAAAAGTTTAGTTTAAATATAAAATAATCATTTAATCAAGGCTTAATATTTTTTAAGAATCAGATAAATAAAGGGCACGCCGGCGAGACGAAAGTAAAATATATAATATTAGTGGTACATATTTTATTTGGGTTATATAACTAAATTATATAAATTTAGATAAGGACTTGGGTAACAGTCTCTTCTCTAGTATTTACTTCCGGAGTAATCTGGGATTGCTCGGGAATTGCTTAGGACATGCACTTCTGTGCTCCCCCCACGCTCCGTGCCGCTCAGTGAGCAAAAAGCGGCGCCAGGTTAGACCTAAAGCGGAAAGGGAAACTCACTGGATTTCCGCAGCAATCCAGTTCGTTAGTAGTCTATTAAAACTAACTCTATACTACAGCCCTTATAGTCTGAGTGAGGTGGATGAAATGACAGGGAGAATGGCTTTGGGTGTACATGACAAGATTAGTGCTCTGTAGTCTAGATTGAAGAAATAGAAGAAATAGTAAATGGCAAGCAATTGTCTGCTGACACTTGCTATTGCCCTGGCAATAGAATTTTATTTGTGGTTGGGTCAACACATTCGAGGACTGGCAAGAATATAAACACACTAGCTCCGAAGGGTCAGATCGATCTGGTTGAGTCCCACTGTAAACATAGGACCAGAGTATTAAACCGACATATTTGAGGCAAATTATAGTGTCTCGAAGAAAATCATGAATTTATTCGGAAGAGATTCCAGGAGGCAGATAGCACACTCAAGAGAAAATGACATGATCTTCTGCTCGTGTTATAGCGCCGCCTTGTGTGGACGAACTCGATTCACTGACTTGGGGCTAGCTTGATCATCAGTTTGTATCGAGAACAGTCTCTTCATACATTGATTATTGTGATCCTCAAAACACTGACCGTTCTCCTGCAGCTACTTTGATCCAGGTACAGATTTCAAAGTTGCTCTCGGAGACAGACGACACCTGGAGTATATGGGGCTGGCCTTTTCCGCTGTCGTGGCATCTTTGGCTTAAGGCTGATTGAATTACCGGCCGTGAGGTGGTGGTATCACACTCTAGTCTTATGGGTTGGGTTGTGCGATGCCTTCGCCTCGGGTTGACGAAAGTACTGTTGCTGCTGTTGTTGCAACTGTTCCAAGGTATAATTGTCGTTAATGATGTTGCTTGATGATCGGGTTGTGCCTGTGCTGTCAGTTGTCGATTCGACAGCTGCTGTTGCTGCTGTTGCCGCTACTGCTGCCGATGCAGCAACTCTTGTGGGGTGTAATTGTTTTTCAGGCTGTGAGTGCTTAGCACATTCAATTGAAGCGTGAGTGACAGTTATGGACTGGTGTCTAGCATGGAGGAAGATATCCTCCAGGAGGTCCCGTCTCGCCACTGACCTATATCTGCTCCGTGATGATGAAAACGCTTGCCCCAGCCGAGCGCGCGGTGCGCTATTGCGTTTTTCTGCCACCAGCACTGCGACGCTCAAGATAGCTTCGCCGGTGCCGCGGTGATGCTACGGTCGCTCATCGCTCAGGTGGCTCTCAGCCTCGATCTCAGCTTCCTGGTCGAGGAGCAGCTCCACACGATCGCAACGCAGGATGTGTCCACCCTGCGCGATCTTATCGCAAAGGTGGTCAAGCGGGCCCCCGTAAAAAGCGTTGTATGCATGATCGACGGAGTGGACTTCTTGAGCAACCAGCTTCATGTGTACTGGGTGGAGGAGGTGCTGCGGTTTCTGAATAGCCTGCTGGGTGTTGTGGCGGGCAGCCGGTCGGATCTTATGTTCAAGATCCTCGTGACCACACCGAGAAGCGAGTCCAGCATCGCAATGGTTTCTTTATCGGGTGGAGCTACCCATGCTTAATAGGGTGGCCTTGGGCATCCGACTGCAGAGATGCAGTCTATTTTCTAACAGTGTTGTCCCTGCTACTTAACAGTGGTTCTAGTCATAATCACGTGTCATGTTCTGTCAAGGCAAACGCAGGCCTAAAAATAACCTCTGGAGTATGCATGCAGCTGGAGAGAAATGTCAACATGAATCATAAGCTTCTGGGTTTGTGTTCCTTTTTTCTTTGGGAAGTGCGGGCCCATTCCGCCAGTCTCTGAGTCACATGCCTCCTGCACTCCCAGAAGCAGCAGGGGCGTGAGTCAGATGATAGGTACCGAGATTTTGACTTGGTCTGAGGTCAGCAATCACATCCTTTCTTATAGACCCGTCGTCTGATAAGTACCGGTAAGCATGCGGCTCGCGACTAGTACACGCCAAGACTAATCGGTGGGGCCGATGTCAAACCCGGTATGTCCGGATTGTCCAGTAAAAAGGAAGAGGTAACCATAAGTATTCACGTAAGATTACTACCTATAGCTCAGCTAGCACGCCAGTCTTATCGTGGATGTTCCATTTGCCTAACCCCATAATCACCCTAATGTCAATTGAAGGGCGCTAGTTTGCGGATGTTAGTCGAAGGGCGTCAGACTTACTTTCCCGCTTCGCCGACTTACTTAAACCCGTTGAATGCCGCGCAGCAGAATACGCCTCATCTTTACTTAGTTTCTTTTTTTCCCCTTCTTCCAACCCTGGTCTTTCACGTCGACCCTCCATAATCTAAAAACCACACCCCTTACACTCACCCCACCCCACGCTCAAGCCCCACCTCGAGCTCAAAATGATTCACTTCCGCCTCGCAACCGCCGCCGACGCCCCGCGCCTGCGCGACCTAATCGAAACCGCCTTCCGCGCTGCCGACACTCGCGCCGACTGGACCGGCGACCTAGCCCTGGGGGCGCGCTTCCACGTCCAGCTGGACGACATGCTCGCGCGAATCGCCAACCCAGACGGCGCCTTCCTCGTTGCCACCACCACCACCACCACCACCACCACCACCAGCGACTCTCAAGACAGCTCGGAAGAGGAACAGAACGAGGAGGTAATCGCCTGCGTCAACATCTTCAAAAAGCCCCAAGCCGACCGCGACGCCATCGCCCGCCTGGCGCTTTTGGCCGTGGATCAGCGTCATCAGCAGGGCGGGCTCGGGCGGCGGGTCGTGGCGCATGCGGAGAAGCGGTGCAGGGAGATGTGGGGGGTGCAGCGGACGGGGCTGAATGCGCTGGATACTCGCGTTGCGTTGATTAGGTGGTATGAGCGCTGTGGGTATGTGCGGACGGGCGAGGTGTCGGTCATTCCGTTACCACCGGATGAGTTGAGGCTTGTGGAGTTTGAGAAGGATTTGGGTGCGGGGCTGGAGTGAGGGTTTGGTGGGAGGTGGATGGATGGTTGATTCGACTATGTGGGGTTATTGTAGCGGAACTATCACGGTGGGCGCGGTGGGCTGACGTGTGCTAGGACTTTCAGGGAGCTTTGAAGGGTACCAGTCGGTCGAAGAAAGAGGGTGTGGTAGTTTCTCTACGATTGGGTGCTTTGAAGGGGGCCAGTACTGGACGGACGATACGTTGAAGATTGTGGACCTTTTCAAGGTCAAGATGGACATCTGAAAGCTTGTCTGTACTAAGTCATGCATGTTTTGTTGTCAAAGCTTCTGTGAGACTATCTAACAACGTTTGATGACTATTGTGTTTATGACTACACATGGATTTAATGGTCCTTGGGCAGATCCGTAAGATCTTGGTGTCGATGGCTTCCTCTTCCACACTAGTACCTTACAAACGTCAGTAAATGCTAGAAAAATCATCAGAGGTGTTGAAGCGCCATAAAAAAGATACCGTCCCTTCCTGGGGAAAGGCTGAACTCTACTGAGTACAACAGAGCTTCGGTTAGTGACTGACTAGGGGGTTGAAGGATTCTCTGATTATGGGATAGGCAATATCTCAATGACTGAAAGTAGACAAAATACTTGACAACCTGACAACATTACTACAAAGAAGGTTCACAAATCCACAAGAAAACCCTGCGAACCTCCACAGGTGTATATAGCAGGAGAGCGATACAAAGTCCAACACGAATAAAGAGATATGTTGTTTATACATGAACCAGATTTCACAGCTTGTCAAACACCTCAATAGCAGCCTGGGCAGTCGACGTCGCACTCGCCGGGTTCTGCCCGGTCACCAGCCGCCCATCTACCACATGGAAATCATCCCAGATGCCGGCCGACCGTTCATCTGCTCAGCCCCAAATAATCAGCTTCTTATTCAGAATTGTAGGAGATTGAATGCAAGAAACTTACACTTCGCCCCCAATCGCTGCGCCAGCTCCTCCACCATCTCCGCTCCGAGCCCGCGCAACTCCGTCATGATTCCCATCGTCTCTTCAGCTTCAGTAGTGAACCCCGTGATCTTCCGCCCCTGGATAATCGGGGTATTCGTCGCCCGGTCGTGCACGTCCGCAAAAATGGCCGGGCCGTGGCAGACGGAGGCGACCACGCCACCGGCCGCCCAGACCTGCTCGGCAATCTGCTGCAGCGCGCGGGCGGTTGGGTAGTCGATCAGCGCGGCGTGGCCTGCGGAGGCATAGAACAGGCCGTACTCGGCGGCTGCGTCGGCGAGGATTTCGGCAGCGGGCCGCATGTGATCGAGTTTCTTCCGGAACTCGCTGTCCAAGTCGTTCCAGATGGCCAGGTCCTCGCCGTGCAGGAAGTCGGGTTGCTGGGAGAGCCAGTCTGCGGTGTAGCTGCCGGTCTCAGACGCCAAATCGACCTCAAAGCCCGCAGCCACGAGGGCGCGGTAGGGGTGCAGAGCCTCGCTGATAAAGAGGCCGGTGCGCTCCTTGCCGTTGAACAGGGTGGCGCTGGCGGAGGTCACTGCGATTAGGGCTTTGCGTGCCGGCATGTTTTCGATTGGGTAATGTAATTGGGGAAGAAGAAAGTAAGATGTGGGATTGCTTGGAGGATGTCGGTGGACTATGCTGTTCGATGTTTTTGTTGATTGCTGATTATTCCTTTCAAGCGAGGAAATCTCCAGCTATTTATGGTCCTGCTTTGTTGAATACGAGGGGACGCGGTCAAGGCGTAGGACGTCCGGAGTTGCGGAGCTGGGGAGTTGCGGAGTGCAGCAATAGCCTATACAATGGCTGTTATCGATAAGGATTCGGATTGCATGCTCCCGCAACTCCGTCGTCCAATCAGTGAAGCTAATTCACGTGATTATGCACAGATACGATCAAGCACGCACTGCGCTGTTAGGCACCATCAATCCGCGTCAGCATCTCACCCTCATCAATCCTGCTCACCATTCCTTGAGAGTTGATGAGTACATACCAGACTGATCGCCGATCATGAGCGCTCCAAGCACCAGACTGCCTAATACACATCGTCCTCGAAAGAGTCAGCAGAACCAGCAGCAGCAACAGCAGCTCCTCCAACGGCGCAAACGGGCCCAGGTCGCCCGAGCGTGCGGCAATTGCCGTGTCCGCCGGATCCGCTGCGACAACCAAACCCCATGCTCCAACTGTGCCCTAAGTCGGACAGTCTGCAGCAACAGCAGCGCCCCCGTCGCGCTCACCCTGTCCCAGGCCAACCAGGAGATTGCCTTGCTCAAGCAGAAAGTCCAAGAGCTGGAAGCCGCACTTGAAACCTGCACATGCAGTAGCCGAGAGAATCTCCCACCCGTCGTAACCTTGCGCCAACCGCCAATCGAGATTCAAGTTGGACCGGCAAGTGAACCTCATCCACATGCTACCCCGCATCTCCCCTGGGGAGGGATTCATTTTCGACCGGCACGCTCCTCCAACAGTCTATGGCTGGGTCCGTCATCACTGTACTCGTACATTCAGCGGATCAATGGCTTTCTCAGCCTTCAGTTGGACCAAGAGCAGCCCGCGCATCAGCTGCTTCCCATCTCCGCCAGTGACAACAAGCTCCTCGACCGGCCCACCACCGACCCAACCAAAAGCCTAAACCCGCCTCTAACCCCAACAACCTCTGTCTATCTGACTCCGCTGCAGGAGGACTTTTTCATCAACCACTTCTGGCAGACCTACCACGTTTCCCTCTTCCCCATCATAAACGAGGCGCATTTCAAGCAGCACTACGCCAGCCTATGGACGGCAGGTGGTAAGGAACGGCGATCGTCGGCTCTCGTGGACATCGTGGTGGCGATGTGCATGCAGTACCACATTTCCACCCTGCCGGCAGATTCACAGAGCGGGCTGCTGGACGGCCAGGATGCCCTCGTAGCCGGCAGGTGGCACTACTGGCGGGGCCAGACACTGCTCGCCTACGAGCTGGAGAGCCCGTCTATCGCCACGCTGCAATGCCACCTGCTCTGCGCCGTCTACCTCTGCGGGGGCTCCTTCCACAACATGATGGACAGCACGGTGAGTCTCGCCGTGCGCACTGCGTACATCTTGGGTCTACACGTGGACCCGCCTCCGAGTCTGCCGGAACCCGATCGCGAGCTGCGGCGGCGGCTGTGGTGGGCGGTCTATGTAATGGACAGTCGAGCGGGTATGAAGCTCGGGCGCCCGTTCATGCTCTCCGACTGCTCTCACCAGACCATGCCGCAGGTCCCAAGCGACACCCTCGCTATCGCCGCCAGTTCCGGCTCGGCCTTTGTGCCCATCGGCGAGGACACGACATGGTTGAGCTTCAACCGGTACCAGACGACGCTCTACATGGCCATCCGCACAGCCTACAACGCGCTGTTCACCGTTGATCTCCATCTGAGCGAGGGCCAGACCATCTGGAATGACCCAGCTGCGCTAGAGACCGGCGCCCAGATCTTGGCGCAACACACGCCGCGCATCGCCGAGTGGGCGGAGAGCGTCCCGCGCGCCCTGCGGCTGCAACGCGAGGGTACGGGATCGGACCGACCGTTCGCGACCGGCGCCGCGCGCCTGCTGCTCGAGCCATTCACCCCACCGTGGCTGCAGCGGCAGCGCGTGCTGCTCGAACTCACCTACCATCACCAATGCACCAACCTGTACCGACCCGCCATCTCCTTCCAATGCTCCCCGCCACCGGGCGGTCACGCCGAAACGCTGGCCCGGCGCTGTGCCGCCCACGCCATCGCCGTCTCCCAGCTCCTCCACCAAGTGATGGAGGAAACCTCCCTACTCGACGGGTGGCACGAGGCGTTCTATTCGCAGTGGAACGCAGGCATGTCCCTGCTGGGGTTCCTGATGGTCTACCCTCATGATCCAATTGCGCCCGATGCGCAGGCCGTGATCGGGCAGGCGTTCGCCGTCTTCGAGCGCTTCCGCGCCGGGTTCCCCATCGCCGGCCACGCAAGCAAGATTCTGCTGGGCCTGCTGGGCCAGGCAGATCTGGTCGCTAGATTGAGCGAGGAAGGCCAGCAGCGGGAAGAGGAGCGGGAGCGAGCCCCCGAAGACGGCGATGCTTGGGCCTTGCCGCAGGATTTAGACGCAGATCTGCTGAATTTGGCTGGGGATGTGGACTTTTGGAATCAGGTCGATCTGCTGTGGCCGCAGGCGCCGGATCTGGTGGATTTGGCTCTGTTCTAGAGGGTCAAGGGCAGTGTTAGCTACCAAAGACTGCTGCTTCGGGCTTACCATGTAGCACATCATATATTTTTAATCTTATAACTTTGCGGGTTTTGGCTGAAGAGATTAATCCGAAAAGCCGCAAACAAAACAAAAACATACAACAGAAGGGATTCGCTGGTGGTCACCCACCCAACTACTAACCTCCCGGCGTGTGGCTTAAGTACGGCTGAGCGGACGGGAAGCCCTGTTTTCCACACCCTGTGGTCGTATGTGCTTGGATCTTCTCCAAACATATTCATGATCAGAGGCTGCCTAGCTGATTCTCTCGCTTCGGGTCCGGCCCTTTTGTCGCTTACCGAGTCCAGTGTTGCTTTTGAGGCTTGGTTATGGTAAGATCATGAAAATGTGATCCTCCAATGCGTATACCGTTCGCTGTTAAAGGAATAATCGTACACTATATAGAGATAGTGTGATGGATGTATGCACATTTCTAGTGATGACACTTTTCCTGATTCCGTAATTTGTTACACCAGATATATAGTGGATTCTGTAACTAGCGAAATTATTCAACTTGCTTCATCACATTTCTCAATAGCTAAATCTTGAAAGAAAAAACTAAAAACGAGAGAGAGGGAGAACCAAAAAGAAATAAAAAAAATTTCTCATTCAGTATCTCAAGAATGAGAAAAGAAAGGGAGGGACAGAGGTTTCTAGTATCACTACTTGATAACCCCCAGCGTTGTAAGCCGTATCCTTAACCTCACTATGAAAAGAGTAAACGTCTGGGCCCTTGAAGGATGAGGCCAGGGGAGGGTTCCATGGCAGTCGTTCAGCATAACGCCCAGATTGAGCGTGGTGGCGCGTTCGCCGATCGCATGGCAGTAGTGCGCCAGGGCGTCCTGGTACGCACACGCCGCCGAGTAGTTGACCGCGGCCACCGAGGGCGCCCGAGATGGACGAGTACAGAATGAAAAAGTCCATCCCTCTCGGCAGTAGGCGGCGCAGGTTCCAGCTGCCGGCCAGCTTGCACGCGGCCGCCTCGGTCCAATCACGGTAGGTCATGTTGCTGAAGACCTTACTCTGGATGTCACAAACCCCACTGTCAGCGTCGTTTCTCGGAAGGAAGGAGAAGGGGCAAGGAAACTTATGCGGAGAACCATCGCGGACTGAATGCAGGCCGGGTAGTGAAACAGAGGCTTCGATGGTGGCTGTTGAGTGATAGGCGTCCCGGACACCTTACTGCACTGTAGAAATGCGTCACTTGACCAAGATCACAGTAGTTAGTTGAGGCTTGTTACACCGGATTAGTCAGCCTTGTCTAATATCTCGATAAAGTCCCCGTCTTCCACGTGGCAAGACTTCATTCACCTCATCTCCAAACACAATACGTTCAGTATCTGGACTCAAGTGCTTAACATCCAAAGACCGCAAGCACTCCACATCGAGGCCAAGCAGATCCTCATCAAAATCAGAAATGCGATGCAGAAAGGGTACTCCAAGCTCCTCATCTACGTCGTTGTGCTTCCATCCACGAACGCGAGCACAGCTCAGGCAACAATGAACGTGCAGATGATGTCGTTGCTTTATGCGGGGGAATGCACGGAGGCAGACTGGAGAAGGCTTTTGACTGACGCGGGCCTCCAGGTTTGTAAGCCCTGACCGGATCCGCGGCAATATGAAATGATCATTGAGGCCGAGGTCGCGGATGTTCCGCGCCGTTGGGAGGAAGCACATTTCTAGATAAGCGAGGCAAGATAACATAATGGTATTTGGTCTGCCAGGGCGGGCTTGCTCTAAACACGTCGGGGTGGGACTCACCGTTCACTAGCCAGGCGGGATGCGTCGGTCCGTGAGCTTTCAGTACCCTTTGCCTCGCAGGCGGTATGGTTCAGACTTAGGCTTTAGCAATGGATAGTTTACGGCGTGAGGGTCAAACTCATCAGTCATCTCAAGTACGGGAGTAGGTGTGAGCTAGGATTGGGCTGTATGGCCGGTGTTAACCCCCCAAATTCCAGAAGATGGGTTGCGAGAAATAGCCCATACTTTGCTCAGGTGCAGGCTCTCCAACTCTGGCATTGACTGGGGCAGGTGCTAAAGATTCACTGGCCAATACCAGTAGCTGTCACCAGGGGGGTTGCATTAGTGCCGCAGACAAATCCCTGTCACGCGGAGGAATGGAGGCGAGGTTCAGCTCAGGAATGCACGGAACAAAGAAGACGAACGACGGGAATGGTATTTGCAATGCCATAACCAGAAGCCAATCGAGCTCGATACAGAAATGAGGGAAGACCCTTAGCTATGTAATGTCCTGCGCCTGAAACCCCGCGACGTGATCGACCTTTGGGTGGATGTGACGGAAGGAGCAACATTCTTCACTAAGCTTTATTCCTGAGGTATCCCCCGCGGACTCCTAATCAGTGTGTACCTGCACTTGTCATAACATGCCATTGAGTGACTGTCAACAATTCCGAGCCTAAATGTATTGGAATGTCTGCAATGCTGATAGGCCTCTCACACCCGTCCGTAAGAACAGGGATCAACCTGCAGATTTACTAATAGGGCACCATACTGGCGGGTGTCTAAATAGACTCAAAAGAACTGAAGGATGTAGTGAACTTACTTAGCTTTGCAATACTCTGCACATGGTACATTCGGGTTGTCTACCAAGTACAAGCTGACAGACTGAGACTAAATTCCATGACCCGAACGGTGCTCGCCTTTCTGGCCTTGGCCTCCTTCGGTGTGTCTATGCTGCTTCCTCCTCCTTATAGTGCACAAATCCCCTTCGATCTAACATTGGACAATAGTGACGGCCGGCCTCACGCCAGGGAACGGAAATAGCACATGTGCTCAATGGTGTCAACACCAGAACCTCGACCAGACGTGCAAGCCTTTGGCAGCCAAGGGGCAAGGCCCCTGTTATACCTGCGGGCCCGCCCGAAAGGCTGCAACTCAAGAGCTCTGCTCCGGCGCTTGCACGGACACCAGTACGGATAGCAAGAATTGCGCTTCGTGTGGGACAGTGGTGAGTATCTGGGGTTGTTGCAGTCCCGGAGGGAATACTTACTCTTTTACAGTGTCCAGCCGGATCGACCTGCTCCCAGGGCGTTTGCACTTGCACAAACTCGGGATTGGGTCTCTGCAACGAAACATGCCCTTCCTTCGATTCCGATAACAATCACTGTGGGGAATGTGGCAACGTGGTGCGTTTGATCCCCTCGCAGCGGAGTTTGCGGTTCCTAGGCACGGAGGCTGACTCGGAGGTTTTGGCTTGTCGCCCGCCGCAACTGATAGTGTCCTGTATCTTCGATATGTCAATCCGGAGCTTGCGTTCCTTGCGCAAGCTTCCAGCCACAAATTACATATGCGGTCAGGGATCTCCCATGGGGTGTGGCAGTGGGCGATTTCAACGGAGATGGCCATCTCGATCTTGCCGTGTCAAATGCTGGAAATGAGACCGTGAGTATCTTGCTCGGGACTGGTTTGGGAAGCTTCCAGGCTCAAATCGCCTACGCTGCTGGCAGCTTTCCTTTTCAGATCGCGGTAGGAGATTTCAACGGTGACGGCATTCTCGATCTGGTTTCGGGCACGGCAGCAAATACTGTCACCCTCTTGCTGGGCACCGGAGAAGGAAGTTTCCAGCCACCGCTGCAGTTTCCCGTGGGGCTTGGACCCGTGGCCATCGCTGTCGCTGATTTCAACCAAGATGGCCATCTGGATGTGGTGACGGGGAATCACGATGGAAACAGCGTGAGTGTTTTGCTAGGGACAGGCGAAGGGAGCTTCCAGTCTCAGACTCAATATGCCGTGGGAAGCACACCCGATGGTGTGGCTGTCGGTGACTTCAATCAAGACGGCCATCTCGATCTCGTCGTCGGCAACGAGGGCAGCAATGTGGCGAGTGTCCTGCTGGGCAATGGCGACGGAAGCTTCCAGCCGCAGACTACAGTTCCGGTCGGATCTGGCCCATATGGTGTGACTGTTGCCGATTTCAACAAAGATGGCCGGCCGGATTTTGCTGTTACAAATAGCATGGATGCCTCAGTGAGCGTCTTGCTCGGTGTGGGAAACGGGACCTTCCAGCCACAGGCTGTGTTCGCCGTGGGGTCCTATCCGAGGGCTATTACGACGGGCGATTTCAACAAAGATGGTGAGCTTGATATCGCGGTGACGAACGATGGAGGGGCCTCGGTCAGTATCTTGCTTGGCATGGGGTTCGGGGGCTTCCTCTCACCTGCGGCCACGTTTGCAGTGGGCAACAACCCGACTGGTATAGCAGTGGGCGATTTCAATGGAGACGGCTACCTTGATCTCGTCACCACTAATATAGTAGACACCACTATAAGCGTTCTGCTTGGGCGGGCTTGTAACACTTGAAAGCGATGTCATTGAGTCACTTTATCCGGACCGGAGACCCGGAACTCCTGTTATATGAACCTTTTTAGTGTCAGAAATCCAATTGTATGTGAGCATGCGGTGTGGACAGGTAGCCGGAATATGGGATCAGGGTGCGGGCAGGCAAATTGGACCTCGTCATGGACTACAGTAACACTGACGTCCTAAAGGCTGGTTATGTCGTTAGTACTGTTCAAGCCTGTGGGAAGCTATTAGTAGGAAAAGCATCCAGAAGAAAATATCCATAAGATTGATGATTACAACACTAACTCGGTGAGCATTGCTGTTGGCACAACATCAGCTAAGCTTTAGCTTATTCCTTATCAGCATCTAGAAAGTACTGCCAGTGAAGGACACCTCAAAGGTACTGTGATTATCATAACACAGCACTCTGGTTTTGATCATTTCGGCTGACCTTGGTCGCGCAGTCCACCTTTTGGTCTCGCGGGTTCGCTTGCTTTGCTACTTGATTATGATTTTGCACGTCTTCGACAGCAAATTCAGCACTTTCACCTCAGGCCCGGCGGTTTATATCGTATCTAAGACATACTGAATATCATAAATTCGGTGTTCGAGGGCTATCTAGGATAGGGCAGCTTACAGCTTCCGTAAATACGGGCCGAGGGCCTAATACACATATCCAGGAGCATCGCTCTCCCGGCCCTCCCACTCCCTCGAACTCCCTGGTCCATCTCCCCGTCGAGATGTCGTAAGCATCACGAAATTCCACTTTTAGGGCTGCAGGACACTCAGACGTGTTATTTGGTACGCGATGACAGGGGTTCACCGGAATCCAGCCAACCAGATCACTCCCTCCGTCGAGATGTCAACTGATCACGAAAATCCACCTTCAAGGCTGAAATCTCGGACGTGTTACTTGGGACGCGTCGACAGGGGTAGCCCTGGAGTGAGCCAATCACATCCTTGCCTCCGCCGAGATGCTGAAAGTATCACGAAAATCCACTTTTAAGGCTGCAGGACTTTGGACGTGTTGTCTGGTACGCGCTGGGCAGGGTGCACGTGGGTCTGGATTATCCGGTGATATCTGATCGATCCAGTCAAGTACCCCTCACTGTCCACTCCGTTGCTGTCAGCTTCCTCGATAGGATCGTCTATTGTGATGACGCATCACCGGATTGCCCGTCGCAGTACGCTTGAGACCCCCTCGCGTCAGCACCCGAACAAGTGATGCGTTGACTGGAATACCTTTCAGGGCTCTGCGCAGGAGCTTTAACATCTCGTCGTCAGAGAACTGCTCCAGGCAGGAGACGACTGGTAGACCACGGAAGAGCCAGGTCTCGCATGCAGACAACCAAGAGCGCTCATCGTCGATCAGAATGACCCCCGACTGGACCCCGTCCCCGTCTCCGCCGGAGAAATCGGAAGCCCTTGTAAGAATATATGAGTAGTGTGTACTGAGTTCGGTTCTTTACGAATGTCATTTTCCCATTACAGTGACAACCACCTTTACCGCCTTATTCGCTCTTCTACCGCTTCCTATCCAAGAAGCATCTGAGGCATATCCGATACTCAGGTATTTTCTCGGTTAGGTAACCGAGAAAAGGAACCATATTAGGTGGGTCCAGATCTGAACCACCACCCCGGAAATGCGAAAATCGTGACAGATTGAGACCATAGTTCAGTCGTCAGGTTCTGCGCTGCCTTCCACTCTCTGCTCTCCAGCTCTGCACCCACCGGCTCCACTGTGTCGATCATCTTCCCTGAACACCAGCCACTGTGGGGCGTGCAGCTCAAGGCTACCAAACAATCATTCATGCCGATCAAGCAGACCCGCCGAGACTTCCAATATTTTCTTCGCTATGGAATCGATGCACAGGAAGCGGGAGAACATTCGTTCGGATCCGCAGCTCAGCTGCGCCAGGTCTTGCTTGACCCGAGCGCGGCGAACTAACAATAATGCTCGCAGCTTGCGGTCACACACCCACCCCCTCCACCCAACTAAGCTGAACCAAGTCGCACAGTATAGAAACAGCCTTACCCGTAACCTCACTAAGCGCAGCCCACCTTGCTCCAACTGCCTTCAGGCCGCACGCCAGGAGATCTCTAGTTGTGTCTCAAATACATAATAAATGTCGAGGCCCTGCACTACTCCCCTGTCACAACCCGTACCCAATAGCAAAAGATCCAGCCATACGTAGCATTCAATTGCTCCCGAGCACAAACTAGCTAGCAATACATCCTCACTGCTCCTACCTCCACCTCTGCCAGCTAGCACCACCTAGTCCCATCACAGAAGATCTTCATCCGAAGCCCTCTCCAAGAGTCGAGAATAAACCACCTCATCTCTCCTCCTCAATGACATACGGACCCTGCAACACCTGGTTACTGCGAGTAATCACGCGGCGATCCTCGCCTCCATTCTGCCCGGGGACCCATTCCACCTTGAAGATGGCACTGAACCCAAGAATTAGCATCACTGACCCTCCACTAAGCACCTCCCCCCCCCCCCCGCACTCCAAAGCCGGGAAAGACGGAAGAGAGAACGTACTGCACCCTACCCTCGTAAATCTTGCCATCATCCTTCCCGATCACGCGGCCCCGCATGCCGAACCCGAGGGTGCCGCCGCGGCCCTCCGGGTCGCTGGGGTCCGGGGAGGCGATGGCCTCGTGGAACTTAAACTCAAGGAAGGTGTAGCGGGAGCGCCAGTTCTGGACGAAGTTCTTGAAGTCATCGAAGTGGAGTTTCTCGTAGTTCCATCTGCGGCGGTCGTTGTATGTTAGTGGGACGATGGTCTCTGCGATAACATGTCGGTGGTTGGAAGAGCGGGGAGGGTGGGGCGTTGCTCACTCGAAGGTCGTTTCGGGGCTGAAGTTCTCCTCCAGCAGCTTGAGGGCCTCCTCGTCGGACGGGATCTCGTACATCAGGCTTGTTTCTGGGTTAGTGATTGCTCGAACCAAAAGACCACTATGGGGGGAGGGGGATACCGCTGGATGCGCTGGACGTAGTACAGCAGAGGGATGGTCACCTCGTCTGACTTCTTAGTCGGGGGAGTGATCTTGCTGGGAAGGGGAATCATAGCTGCAATGATTTAGAGAAGGCTGATTTCATTCAAGTTGCTGTTGGAACTGGTGCGGTGCTGGATGGGAGAGGATGTTGACATCTCAGACTAGAGGGGGGTTATATATCTTCGTTCTCCAGGCGCAACAGGGAAATGCTTTCATCGCGATACGAAGCTGACAGCGCTGGTATCACGGATTGTATGGCACGGTATCGACACAAGGGTTAATCGTTCATCCTCCGCCGTGAAAAGTGTTTGTGGGGTTCAGCCGAGATCTGAATTTCTCGTATCGGACTGACACCCAGATCTCCGGGTCTGCCATTGCAGATCGGCGTACGACGTAGAGATCTCGGGCGTTTCAAGGAAAGTCTAATTTTATTGCACCACGTAGCCATTTGTTCGGGATTGCTGGACCATACTGACGTGGATGGTGTGCCAGCCAACTCGGCGACGACACGGTTCATGTACACAGTGTAATCCAGTTTCACTGGCTCTGCGCGAGTCACCCGGGATGACTGGATTGCTAATGTTCATCAAATATCGAACCGTCTCACAGGTTGGTCACTTTGACGTCGGGGACTGTCAACCGGTCTGAATTTCATCGGGTGGTCTTCTCCCGAGGACTTTGCTAGCATTTTTCACCCAGAGCGAGCCGTTTGCCACACAGCAATGTCCAACCAAGCTGAATGTCTGGAGGAAGTCTAAAGGCGTAAAGTATCATGACACCGTACAGGGAAACATGATGACCTGAACTGTACAACTGCAGACAACTGACTTCTCGAGTACTCGATAGTCAACTGATTAGAGCGGGAAAGTAGGATCCGGGGGGGGGGGGGGGTAAGAAGGCAACGAGAAGAGCATTCACAATACATTCATACTCATGTATTCTTCAATACGCGACGTACTTGGGACAGGCTCTGATTTGAAAACAACAAACGGAAAACCAGTCTCTCATGTAAATCCAGAACAAGTCCAAGACTATCATATACCAACACAATACGTCAATAACCTCGTGTTAAAGTCCTCTCTCCTCCAGCGCCCGCCGCAACGTCTTCTGAAACCCAAATACATGCTCTGGCGACAGCATCGTGTAGTGTGCGCCCGCAACGTCGTGGAAGCGCGGCTCCGACCGCGCGAAATCCTTCCACTTGACCATGTGCTCGTCGTACCACTGACGCTTGGAAGACGCCACTCCCGCAAGTGGGATACAATAGAAACAATCGATGCCGACCACCGAACCGGACGGCTCATATTCGACTGCCATACTCTGCAGGCCGAAAGCAAGACACGCCCACTTCAGGAGACCCTCTCTCGTCAGCGCGAGCTCCACCAGCCGTCTCGGATCTGAACTCCCCCACACTATATCCAGCGCTTCCTCCTGCGAGATGGTGTCCCCAAGCTCCGTCGCCAGCTCACTCGCGCGAGCCTCGCTCATCAGATCCAAGAAGTACGCGAGGTGCAGGAGACACTGCCGGAAGTCCAGCTGGCGCATGCGCGATCTAATATGTGGAGGAAGATTGAACGAGCCGAGGAATCCCACAGTATCCCCGTGTTGCTCGAGTCGCTTGCTGGTCTCGAAGGCGAGCATGGCACCGTAGGAGTAGCCGGCGATCGCGTAGGGGCCTTTAGGCTGTGTCTGCTTAATGGCTCCGTGATATGTGGTAACTGCGTCGTCGATACTAGCGAATGGCTCCTCCGAGTCGTTGAAACCTCGCGCTCGGAGGGCAAAAACCGGGCGGTCTTGAATGTATTTGGTCAGGTTCAAGAAGACAAGCACTTCGCCGACCCCCGGGTGGACGAGCCAGAGCGGTGTCTTGTGGCCTTCGTTGTGCAGAACAACGACCGGGTTATATACCTGGGGAGCTTGGGGCGCGAGATTCTGGAGGTCTCGAAGAGATTCACCTAGCGCTCGAATGGTCTGGTTTCTGAGAAGTGTGATGATTGAGATTTCCTGTGACAGATCTAAGCGTTCCTCGTGGGCCTTCTTAAGCTTGATCAGCTCGATTGAGGTGATGCCCAGGTCGAGAAGTGGGCTTTGTACTCCGAAATCTTCGTCTTCGAGCCCGAGGGTGTCTGTGAAAATTGCGAGGAGCGTAGATTCGAGTTCGTCTCTTGGTGGTGCTTTTGTAATGCTTCGGTAGAGCTTTACCATCTTGCTGTTCAGCTCCTGGTAAGGCTGGTACTCCCCTCTCTCGTAGCTATTTTTGATCTGCGCTCGCGAGAGTTTGCCCAGCGCTGTCTTTTGGAGGAGATGTTTTGAGAGTGGAATGACCTGCGGTCGTGCACCGGTGCACATCATGACGGTCTGGGAGATAGCATCAGTCGTTTGAACACGGCCGACCATATCGTCTGCTCGATACGTTGGTAGGTAGACCACAAAGATTTCTTCCGTCTCACCCCCCTGAGATAGCGAACAGAAGCAACAGTTATAAGAAGGATTAAGGCCTGGGATGTCCGCATCGTCCAGTGCTCTCTCGATAGTTTGAGGGTTATACTTGAGGCCGTTTATTATCATTGTGTCCTTATCGCGACCGGCCATGATGAGATAGCCGTTCGGGTCAAGCAAACCACGGTCGCCCGTCTTGAACCATCCATCGCTTGTGAAGGAGTCCGCCGTGGTTCTCATGTTGTTGAAGTAAGATTTGAATACCACAGGGCCGGTGACTTCAAGGCTTCCAACCTCGCCCGGCGGAACGGAGGTGTTGGCGGGTGAGCCATCCGTGATACGAACCTGAATGCCCGGCATGCATTGGCCGACTGCCGCAAATTTCAGCTTCTCTTGTTCGTCATACTCAGGGCATCGCGTGTTAAAAATGGCCCCGGCACATGTCTCAGTCATTCCGAACCCAGGCACGATAACATTCGGTGGGGTGCCGTGTTGGACCAATAGTTTCGAGATGCTAGCACATGTTCGAGTCACATTAGCTTCTCCGCCTGAAGCAATGTATTTTAGACAGCTGAGATCCCACTGAGGCGTGTCCTGTAGACCTTTAAGGGTGGCTCGAAGTTTGGCCAAGAAGGAATTGGGCACAAATGTCCGGCAGACACGGTGTGTATCGATCAAGTCAAGAAAAGTGGTAGGATTCGACAGAAAATCCGATCCGGGAACATGTACTTGATCCATGCGAGCGAGCATGGCTTGCAGATGGATTTCAATTAATGCTGCAACATGGTCGAGGTTAACCCAGTTCATGAAGCTTCTACCGGGGAGCGAGACAACGGAAAGCTTGCCGACATTCGCTGCCAGGATTTGACCGTGGCTTAGACAAACTGCTTTGCAATTCCCCGTGCTACCGGAGGTGAGGAGCATAACGGCAGTGCCATCTGGCCCAGGGTTGCTATTTATGTTCTCCACAAGTGACGATGCTGACAGGTTGAGTGATTCGACGGATACGGGGCGTATTGCGGCCTGGTCACCGAATTCAGGCACCTGGCTCTCTCGAGTCAAGCACAACGGTTGTTTCAGCATTACGGACAGATGTTTCAAATGAGCCGTGCGGAGGAGGGGGCTGTTGGGAAGCGCCGTGGACATGACCGGAATACATCCCGCCAACATCACTGCCCAGAACCAGACGATGTTGTCCCAGTGGGATGTAAAATGCAGAAGCACTGGTGACTGAGGCAGACGGTCATTGTTATACCTGCCGCGGAGTAATCGACTAGCCCGACGTGCCTCACGCAGGAGTTCGCAATAGGAGTAGGTGCTGCAGCATTTGGTTGGGCCCGAGAAGTAGCAAATGATCTGTCCACTTTCCCTCTCCCCAGCCACTGTTTCGAGCAGTTGAATGAGGTTTTCGAACACCATATTTTCGAACGATAGAGAGATCTTGACAAGAAATTGAATGAAGCGGTGTTCTGGCGCAAAGAGGCAAATCTAAGATGGTATGTGAAAACCGCTCACTGCCCAAGCATCTGATGGCACGCCCTTATAACCTCTCGCAGCTTCTAAATCTGTATCTCGGGGATCGAGTCTCTGAAGTCCCGACCGGCGTAACAATCGAAGGTCTGTTGGATGACCTCGGAGTAAGTCAAAGCTTGCAAATCTTACTCTGCTTTGCGAAGCTCGATGTTCCAGGGATAACCGCACCGTATCCTTGGCCTGTGATACCACATGGAAATGAGCACGGTGGCGTTTTGGACTGTGTGGTGAACTTACTCACCAAGAGCGTAAGAGATTTCAAGACCATTATCAGTCGAGACAAGCTTCTGAGCGACAAGTGTTCGGCCGAAACGAGCCTAGAATCGCTTTCTCGAAGCAACTCCGCTCTGTCCAGCCTGCTGACAAGCAGCGAGTATCTTCGTTTCGGAGATTCCCGGTCTGCCAATGTAGGTGAAAGCCTGTCAAGCTCTGCTTTGTGAGAAGTGGAAGTCATCGTGGAAATTGAACCGAACCGCAATTGCAAAGCTGACATGGGTGGTACCTCCGACGTAAGCGTCCCGTTTGACTTCGAGACCGAAAGGCTGTCGGGTGTCAAAAAAGAAGAGGGACGGTGAGAAAGTCTATTTGAACCAGTGAAGGAGGTGGGGGAGGGAAAATTGTCCTAGATCGATGCTGGCAATGATGATTGTTAGTTTTACCGGTGATGTCATGAGGCAGTTGTGACTTCTCGTACCGGGGAGGAAGGATAACGGGGAGGAGCCGATGAGAGGGGCTAAGAAAATAAGCCTCTACAATGAATAGTAGCGCTGATGACGAATCGAAAGAACATCAAGGTTGTGAAGGGACTGTCGTTGACGTTAACACTCGAGGATTATGGGAGCACCGATGAAGAACAGAAGAGACGGAGGGAAAGGAAACTCGGCAAGCCGTGGCTGCCACCTTGGTAAGAAATATGCAAGGGCAGATAACTATATTCGCCCTCACGTTGCGATTCCCCAGACCAGCACCTCAACAACACATTTGTGAACTCCATTCGGAGCCTTGACCGACTACGACAATAACTGGTGCTAACACAAGAACACATTCCATTAGGTCAATCTGTTGTAATAATAGTACAAAAAGCAACATTGTCAAACCACCGACCAATAACCACCACTAAACCCTTCCCTCACCCTGCTTAACCGCAACGATTAGGGCCTGGTATGGGTCCAACCCGTGATACTGAACGTCAACTAGCTCCAGATTCGCAGATTCCAGTAGTTTGGCCCAGGCCCCGCGAGTCCGTTCCTGCGCCCCTACGTTCGCCATCATCTGCAAATCCATGGCCGTAGCCATCCAGTTAATCCCACTATTGGGCAGAACCATCTCATCAAGAAGGAGAGTTGAATCGCTGCGCATTGCTTTTGCGGTATTCTGAAGGATTGAATGACAGCTGCGGTCAGGGAAATCGTGGAGAACTCCTCGGAAGTAGTAGAACTTGGCACCTATCGCCAATCAGCAAAGACTACGCTGGAGTCATCGCCTCCGAGTCTTACCTATGACCGGCTGTTCTTCGAAAATATTGTAATACATCTTCTCGACCCCTGGGATGGTGGGGGCACTCTCCATAACCTGGGGCAAGTCTTGAAGGATAAATCGACCGGGAATGTCAGGATCGTACTGGAGCACCCGCTGGGACTGATGGCCGGTGCCCCCGCCAACGTCCACAAACAAGACCTCGTCTGTTGCTGTTCCCTTACTGCGAAGGACGGTTACAAGCTTGGCCCAGTTGGTGGTCTGGTTTCTCTGGAAATGCATGTGGTTGTGGAACATGGCGCATTTCTCCGGGTGAGCTTTCAGGAACGCGAACAGGTCGCCTTTGCAGCCGAACGCGTCATGCAGAGGCAGGTTGAGAGAGTCTGTGGGATTGTCATAGCCAGTTCGCTCGAGGAACGGGGGCAGCTTGGCCATCACGGGAAGGATTAGCTCGTAGCTTGAAGAACGATGCTATGTTAGTGGATCACTTCTTCACCAGCTCTGGCGCGCGTTCGAGAGAAGGCAGTCTTACTAGGTATTGATATAGCTTTCGCCTTTGGGAGAGGCCAGAGTCCAGGTCATCTTGTTCGCTGCAAAGAGATCGGGTCCGAGCTCTGTGATCATACGGACGCTCGCGAGATAGCGCATAATCCGGCCTAAGATACATTAGCTCCCTCGTCCTATGGGGGCACATTTCGGTACCAAGCAATATTTCGTCAGGAGAGATCTCTTTGGCCAGCCGATCGAGATGGATGCCCGAGTCACTCGAGGCGAGCAGATGAAACAGACGCAGCCTAACGCCTATTCTCGCCCCATAGACCTCGAGGGGCTATTGCGTCGTTAGCATCGCCCAACCTGCGCATCAATAGACGTACAGCAAAAGTGATGCGCTGAACAGCATCTTCCTCCGGCTCGAGTGAAACAATGAGATCGCGCAGCTCATTCACCAGCCTGCCGCGATTGTCTTCATCGAGACATTTGGCGAGATCTTTGACATGATCGAGAGCTTCATCCATCTTTTGTTGATTGGGGTACTACTGTCTGCAAGGAGGGGATTTGACCGATGTCCAATGGTATGGAAGTATTTTGAGAAGGTAGGCGATAGGGCGATTGTGTTGAAAAAGACAGGATAGGGTGCTGTTTTGGCTTGGATTTGAGACCAAATACCATAAAGAAATCTGTGCCCTGAGAAAAGACCAAGGTATATTGCTTGAGCTGAAGATGAACCGGTGGAATTCAGATGCAACCATGGGGGGTAGGAGAGTCCGAGTTAACGGATCCACCCATGTGAATCTGTAACAACGCCGTAAAGTCACTCCTGGTTGTGGAAACTAGAAAAAAGGTTAACAACGATGGATGCATCCAGGATGAAGACAAGGATGTCGATATCATTCACTTTGCATGAGACAGTGGCCATACTTGTCAGAAAGCATCATGATGCAGGGTCCAACCCCCCACCTCTCTCACCTCAACCAACCTCTCACTTCAACAAACATTTTTTAAAACAGATGAGAAGTCACTGACGTATCTATCACGGTCGTTGTTGCCCTCAACTGTGGTTCCTCTGTAGTTTGGTTCCACCAGAAGCCACATAGAAACCTCGGGTTGACCCAGGCCTAGACTCGAGCTTCTTCTAGAATGATGACATATAACGACTTACAGTGGCCGGAAAAGTATCTTTCACGAGTCTGCTCTGTGCATCAGCATGTGATCCGTATCACATGAATTCCGGGGAATGAACGAAGCAACACATCGGATCCCGGGGCAAGTCAGCCAGCCACTTGGTCCCACAATATGTATAATCGATGACCATGGCAACGTTGGCCTTTCACAACCGGCAGTATACGCACATGCTGCTACGCCTATCCTCGAACTGAACGCGTCAACAATTACCAAGATGATAAACAAATATAATGAGTCAAAAGGCACATCAGAACGAAAGTCTATCCCGTCCCGCCCTTAAGACATCTTCTCACCCAGAAAGGGCACCTTGCAGCATCCATCAGTACAGCGACGAGGACAATCGAGGAGTATATCAAGCAGCAGAATCTACCGTATCCTTCCTTCGAAGTATACGGGGGAATCACCCTACCCTGGGAGCTGCAGGGTGCAAAAGAATCAATCCTAGATTCGGCTTCCGAGCTACGATATCTGCTCACCGATCCCGTGAGCGCATTCTTCGATGGAGCCGTAAGTCATGACGCGTCTGGATCCAACCCCGACAACCTTCTGACAAAGGAGTATAGCCGGTAGGCTTTATGAGTATGGTAGTGATCCAACGCTTCAAGATCGCGAATCTAATCAAGCCGGACATGAGATGAGTTTTACATCGATCGCAGAGCAGACGGGCCTGAGGGAGGGGGTGGTCAAACATGTCCTGCGTCACGCGATGACCTTGCGGGTGTTTCGCGAGCCGCGACGGGGATTTGTGGCCCACACCCCTCGGTCGGTGGTGATAAGAGATGGTGATATAGCACGCTGGATGGCTTTCTCTATTGACGAACTGACAGAGGCTATTCTGTGTGTAAGTACTCCCGCAATATGGATATGGGGATTAGCACTAACTCTATTTTCTATTCCAGGCGCGTGATGCTATGCAGAAATGGCCACGGTCGGATGAACTCAACCAAACGGTAAGCTCCACCCGCATGTACTCTCTGTCTCAAATGGCCGTGACACATGGCTAATAATGAATTCGCATATGCCAGGGTTTCTCCCTCGCCGAGAACACGGATCGACCAATTTACGAGGTCCTGGAGGCAGATCCTGTGCGCGGGGCCCGGTTGGCCAGTGCCATGAACGTGTGAGCCTCAAGCGAGAGTTATTCGGCCTCGAAAGTAGTAGAGTCATATGACTGGAGTCAGCTGGGGGCAGGCCCAGTTGTGGATATAGGCGGCTCACGAGGACAAGTTGCGGTGGCAGTGGCCTCGAAATTCCCAGCCTTGAATTTTGTGGTGCAAGACCTCGAAAGCACCATAGCAGGAGCTGAGTGTGATCTGCCACCTGAAGTCGCAGACCGCGTGAGCTTTATGGCCCACGACTTCTTCCAGGAGCAGTCGGTTGTGGCTTCCACGTATTTCCTGCGGTGGATCCTGCATAACTGGTCGGACAAGTACTGTATCAAGATTCTCCGTGCACTGATTCCTGCCCTGCGACCGCGGGCAGGGGTCATTGTCAATGAGATCTGCATGCCTGAGCCAGGAGAGGTTTCTGTGTGTAGAGAAAGGTTGGCACGGTAGGTTGCCTCGACTGCCACCATGAGATCCTGAGCTGACGTTATGGCAGGACGATGGGCTTGGGCATGATAGGCCTATTCAACGCCTATGAGCGAGATATAGAAGACTGGACCCGAGTCTTCAAGCAAACGGACTCGAGATTCCGGTTGCTCGGCTGTCGGCACCTGGACGGTGCGGAAATGGCTTCGATCGAATTCGAGTGGACCGGATGAACGCGAGAGCCTTCATGTAGTTGAGAATACACTGTTGAACACTAAGGTATATTGGTTTTGCAGGTAAAAATAATCAGAGACACGGAGTTAGGGTCCATTGTCGAATGTCAGTCGTTGTTCCTATGACTTCCAAAGCTTGTAAGAGTTCAACAATTCTACGCCACCCCAGAACCACCATTGCGGCCGGCCTTCCTCATCACTCTCGACATCCCGCCGAATGAGAGGCATCTCGATGGCCTTTATTGCAAGCGCAGTAGTCAACCCTCTGTTCCCAATCTTCACCCCAGTCGATCCGAATCTATAGACCCAACCTGTAGGGAAGCCACCATCCTCACACTGCATGTCCCGCAATGCTCTTTCATCGAGCAGATTCGACATCCCGAGCAGCTTGCACGCATAGACCCGCATGGCTAGCGAAATAGCGTCGCCAGCGGCACCAATTCGCTCCTGTAATCTTTCTCCCAGCAGAGGCACAAGCCGAGCGCGGAGTGGACTCATCCTCAGGAAAGCCGAGAGGCGGGCTAGGAAGTACAAGAAGGCGTCCGGACTGATATAGTACCTGGTGCCCTGCAGGTAGGCTCTATGTTGCAGCACGTCCAGCACCCAGTTGAAGGTGGCGATTAACTCGGATTCCCGGCCGTTCTGGGCAAACAGGCTGAGTACATTAACACACACGACGGGGTCGACTCGAGGGCGGGTGGGATCGAAATATGTCTTCCGAGGTTTGTCAGGGAGGGAGACGCAGATGAATTCACGATGATCATACCGGGACTATCCCATCATTGTCCAAGAGAAGCAGAATCTCATCCATCACATCGGTGACGACGTTCTTATGGATTGGAAGAACCGAGAGCGCAATAGAGGTGGTGTCCAGATCGTTGGGGAAAGTGCTCGTCGGCGACTGAGGAATCCCTGTTGACAGTCCCACCGGATCAATAGCTGCAACACCAGGCTCAGGGAGGATTTAACCAACCGATGAAATAGTTCCATGTTCGATCCCAAGGCTCGAGTTCAATCAGGTCTCTAAGCCCACGTTCATTAAACACTCCACATGCCATAGACAGAACTGAGTAGAGAAGCTCACCGGTCGCCCGTCAGCTCCAGAATCAACAACTGCGCAAAGTTCTCGTGAATCACTGAGGTATCGCTAGTCACGGTGAGCAGGCTCTTTGCATTTAACCTGAGATACTCCAAGCCTCGAGAGACAGGGTCTCCCACCAGATTCCGGATTCGTTGCTTGAATTCGGTGACGTTTTCGAACACAACGCCGTGCATCCCCACAGATTGCGCGACCAGCACATTCTCTGCTTTGTCGTCCACGAACACAACCTCGTCAGGCTTTAGTCTCGTCTCCGCGAGAACGACCCGATAGAATCCAAGATCTGGTTTGCGCATCCCGACAACCCCGGAAAGATATACATGGTCGAAGACTGGATAGCTGTCCACGATGCGACTAATGCATTCCTGCTCCGCGCGAGGCGTGTTCGTCATGCCATACACTTTGAGCCCCGGGTTTCGCCTCCTTGTCTCGCTGACAAGCTGAAGCGCGGCGTGGTTCATCTCTAGGCTTTGCCGAGCCTGTTCCATGGTGGAAGCCATATCCGCAGCGCTAATGGAGAACCGTTCGACTAGCTTCGCATAACATTGGTCTTCGGAGTATCTTCCGCGCTCGTATTCGAACCATATCTCGGAGGACATGATTTGTTTGAGTTGTGCTGGGGAGAGCGGGCTTTGAGCTGGCGGGGTCCATGAGCATAGAACTCCCGCGAAGTCTAGGACCAGTGCTTTGATTGGGGACATTGCTGTGGGCGATATCGAGCTAGATCACTTTCGAACCCACTCTTGAAAGTGACTACGAAGATTTCTGATGGCCGGGGGATGAGGTAGCTTTATATTGTTATGCTGGAACTTGATGCGGAGTACAACGTAGAAAGCATTCGCAATTGACGGGACCCTTCTGAGGACGAACTCCACAACGACTAATCATCAAATCTCAGTCCTGACTGAAGAGGGCTTCTATCTGGTTAGCATCCGGCGACGAGGTGTTATGCGATCAAGTAATTATGGATCTCTGTGGCGGATGAATGGCGCTAGGAAGAAAGCGAATGCATCCATGGTGGATAGATGAGAGATAACCATTGTCAAGGATCTGTGCAGACCAATCGACATACCTGTATATGCGAAGTCTGTGGGCCTGGGTGGTGTTTCATCTGATCCTTTATTACTGAACTTGACAAGTTTTCTTAGTTGCATATCGATTAGTGATCCTAGGGGGTAGGCTACTCGTTTTTGATTATTCTATACATTTAATGGGACCTAGTCAGTTGTACATATAGTGTCGACTAATCAATGTCCAATCCCTCCCTTTAGAAAACCGGGAGGTACTAGGTCCAGTCAGTACCCGCTACCCCAAAAGAAACCACGAATTAACAGCACGAGGAATCTTTAAAGCCTGTGGGGTTTATGATTCACGCTTCGATCATCCGGTTCGATTCTGTCTCGGCGCATTTCCTTATCGCAATCCGCCCTCATAGCGTCGGCAAGTGCCAGTTGCTTGTGGGTAGTTAGAGACGAGAAAGGGTCTAGCTTCTCCTTGAAAACCTAGTCACTGGGGCATGCAAAAGCTACTCAAATCCTCGCCGGAGAACATGTATATTCGAGGCTCCCATGATATGTCTTTCGAACATCTTCCTCTGCCTAATATTGATCTGCGCGGTCGCAACACACGTCTCCCAACAAAGGTTTCCTCTACTTCATGCAGCACGCCCAAACCGACCACCGCCCATCGGCTATCGTCGACAAATAGAAATAACACGCACTCCTTGGTATTCCTCCCTCCCCGCCCGGAGCACTTCCCCCCTCCTCGCAGCAGTATCCCACTCCTCCCCATCCAAGTTCCACTCCGGAGGGGTGTCGTCCGGGAACAACTGCCGCAGGATCTCGCCCACGACCACAACAATCATCCGGACCGAGAACCCTCGAGCGGACGGGCACTTCATGGTTCCGATTGCAAATGGAATCCAGGCGAATTGCTGCGATCCGACCAAGGATGATCGGATCTGTTGTTTGTCGGGCGTGAGAAACCGCCCGGGGTCGAATTGTTGCGCGGTCGCGCCCCAGATCGATGGGTCCCTCTGGATCGCTTCGATATCGATGGATTCTGGCACCCGGCTGATGCGGCGGATGGGCGGGTAGAGGCGGAGGGACTCATATGCGATTGCTAACGACTGGGGGTCTGGGGAATGGTCCGGTGGGCAGCTTCGCAATATCAGGGCGTATTCTGGGCTCCGTGGGCCGGACTGTAGGACTGCGAGAAGGGTGTAGAGAGTTGATCGCCATGGGGCTTCAAAAGCGGGGAGGAGCAGGTTCAGCGGGTTGAACTCTTCAGGGGGCGGGGAGCCCGAGACGCGGTATAGGATCGTCTCTGCCAGCTCCGTCGATACTGCAGCGTCAATGAAGACGTCCTGCAGGGTTTGAATCAAGGTATCCGCCGAACGCCGGACATTCTCGGGAATGTGCTTGGAAGCGTCAGGTGTCAGAGCGTGTCGCTTGCCCTCTGTAGCGATGCGATGGATTTCTGAGCCCATGTAGCTCAGGTTGTCGCACGCGATGTTGTCGATGTTGAAGAGAGCTTTCAGAACGCCGGCAAGTGAGGTGTTGAGGCTGACCTGTCGTAGGTCGGCGGTGATGGTGCAAACACCATCCGGAGCTGTGCATCGGAAAAGAAGAGGTCGGACGGCATTGGCCACTACCCGAGCGATGCCTCCCCATGCACAATCGTCCACTCTGCCAAGTGCCTTGTACAAGGCCTGGCGGTAGGAAAGCTGTAGCTCTGCCGAGTCAGACACGAAAGGGTTGTTGAGCCGCCATAGACTCTTCAGGGTTGGTGCCCCTGCTCTGGCTGCTCGCATCGCGACGGTTGAGTTCTTCAATGTGACTATCGGGTCCTCGTCTCCGTTCGGTTCAAGCCTGGTTATGTCGCCAGTGTCTTCGTCGCTTCTACATGGACGCAGTAGAACATAACTGACAATTGCACCCACAAGGATTACCAAGAGCAGGACCTCTTCACTCATTATTGGAAATTACAGGCTGTTTAGACATAGGCTGCGAAGGCATAAGAGCTCAGCAGAGACAGCGTCGCCCCATAGGAAACGGGACCGTCTCACAAGACGACTTGGTGTGAGAGATTCAAGTGCGCGCACGGCATCCCAAGCCGCACCGTGAGGGTAAAAGAGGGGAGGGAAGGAGAGTGAGTGAGAAAACTCGGGGGCGGGGGGCAAGGGGGGGGGGGTTTATACTCCGGCACGTTTGCGTGACTTCCTCATTCAGAACTATTATACTGCGACTCATGAACAGTTTAAACCCCTCACCACCACCACATGGCATGCGAAAATTCCAAGCATCACAATCTTGTTAAAGACTATCTATGATACAGAATACAGAATAGACTCGCCCCATGTGAATCCTCGTACGATGTATTGTGACTTGGCAGCATGTTGTCGTTCGAAGCAGCGCAGATCGTATTCCCAGTGAAATCCGACCGAGAATACACAACCTGAAGGCCACCATAGACTCTCTTTCCGAGGGGCAACTAGGAAATCGGGCACCGCCTCGATTCAGTAGGTATGTATCGTCCGAGGGGAATACTTAGCAAAAGTCGTTGACGGGCTATAGAAGATTGAGTAGATAGGATAGGGGCTCTCATGAGTCGTGCGGAGGGCTCTGCAAATCGTCCATCATGTCGAAACTAATACCACCCCAATCCTGGCGTCCAACGATGATGTACTCATTTACTTCGACCCCGCCGTCTGTGTCACAGCCGCGACCCTCGCTTGCGGTGAATTCATACATGTGGAACAGAAGAAGAGACCGAGCTTACCAGCTCAGGTTCGCCAGTTCTCGGGGGTGGCCTGCGCCGGTGCGCCGGGTTGTACTGTCACATGCTTGCGTTCTACCTTGTGGCTGCTGGGGATGCATACCTGTGATCAGAATAAAGACCTACAGAGGGCAAGGGATCTATCATAACCTCTAGCCCCGTTTCATTCACGTCCATGGCTGAGCTTGTGGATTACCAAACTTAGGCTAGAAGACGATACTGGGGACAAGAGATGTTCTTTCCCACCCGACCGCATGGGAGACTAAGGATTCCCGCTATCCGTCAAGTTTGACGCAAGGTGTGCTATTGGCATCCAATCGCCCATCCCAGGGACCCTATATACAGCGACCTCGATTGGAAATTCAGAAAGTCAGAGCCTAGCAGTCCTCCTCATCCTCCTCAGTAGCGGCGGTAGCAACGGTCGACTGAGTGGTAAGGGTGGTGTGCGTGGCGCTATCGACGGTGATGGCGGCGGAGCCGCTGCTCTCGTAGCCCTCGACGGCGACGATCTGGTAGTTGAAGGTACCGAGCTCGAGGCCAAGGTTCTCCCAGGCGTCGAAGTGGTTCTTGGTGGTGACGGTGCCGCCGACGCGGGCGTCGTCGCGGATGGACCAGTACTGCTTGAAGGTGCTGGTGCCCTCGATGGAGGCGGCGTTGGTGCGGGTCGACTCGTAGATCTTGTAGGTGCTGCCGTCGCTGGTCACGGTGCCCAGCTGGGTCAATCCGCTAGACGGGTTGTAGTCGCCGTAGTGCTCGACGATGTAGTACTCGACCAGGGGGCTGGTGGTCCAGCCGTAAACGGAGAGGTAGCTGTTGCCGTTGTTGGTGGGGGTCCAGGTACCGGTGTAGGTGATGTCGCTGGTTAGAGTGTTAGATCGACGAATGAAAGAGGGCACGAAGGAGGAGGAAACCTACTGATCACTGCCGGTGCTCCAGCCCTTACCGGCAACAAAGTTGCCAGCATCACTCCATTCCACAGAGTATTCGCCAGCATTACCGTTGGTGTAGGTGACGGAGCCTTCATTGTTCGTCCAGAAGGAGTAGAAGTACCCATTCGAGGTGCCCTCGCTGGAGGTGGTCAGGCTGCGCTTGGCCATCTCCATGAGAGCAAGACGGTTTGGGGCCGCCAGGGCGCCCGAAGCAGCGGAAAGAGCGAGGAGAATGTTGGAAAGAGCGACCATTGTGGTGGTGGTGTTGGTATTTTGGTAAGGAATGTAGTTGATGCTGGTGGTACAAATAGTGAGTGGACAGAGAAGCGCAGCTTGAGGCACTGGAAATGGATCGCCATGCCGGCTCTATAAGTACTCCTGGTACCAGTGCAGTAAATCTGACCAAGGATCGAATAGGTGAGACATTACCGTCTGTCGTAGATTAATTCTCATGGTTTTGGGAGGTCGGGGCGTGCTCCTGAATCATTTTAGTAGCCGTCGTGTTTCAAATTGATATCCGCACCCACTTTTGTCCCCGCCGGCCCGTCGCCAGTGCGTTTGGCCCTCGGTCCAATCATTACCTCCCATGCAGTCTTTAGCTTCGGAGAAGCACAGGTAGCGCAAACAATGGTGAAGGAGGTGGAGTTCGGACGTTTGGCTCAGGGCGAAAAGAGCCGGATTAGTGACCCTTACCCTGCTCTTGCTGCTGTTGTCCGGCATAGACGTCAAGGTGCCTAGAGCACTCAGCGATGCTTAATTTAGCACATGGTGTTTGTTGCAGAATGGAACTGAAGAAGCGGACTGCTTGGGCCTAGGCTACTGGCCAATCGTTCGTTGCATAGATTAAACAATGGCATTTAGCTAAATAAAGGAAGCTGGAGCTACCGAGGACAACCACATTCAGGGGTCGAATGACACTTTCGGAGTGGGACGCTCCAGATCAAGGCCTGGCCCACGCAGCCCTTGATGTTGTCTGCAGCATTCGATGGTGTAGAGACTCTTCTACAAAATACAGGACATGAAATGTAGGTGGGATAATTGGCAGCTTAGTAGCTCAAAAGTTAGTCTTTTCATATTGATGATTGGACTGATTTGATGGCTTGTGTGTTTTTGGGATGAGGTTTGCAAAGATTATCATTCCAGCACATACGACCACAGGGTGTGGAAAACAGGGCTTCCCGTCCGCTCAGCCGTACTTAAGCCACATATTGAACGCGGCCGAGTGAGATATGAGCCCTTTCTCAGTCGCTGCTTTATGGGTGAGCAACGCTAAGACGAAGAGTGAGTGCGGGTGATTTGGGTGATGCTGTCCAGAGTGTGGGTGAGCGGGGTGAGCAGGGTGAGCAAATAGGTGAGCGATTGAGTGACCGAGCGGGCCAGCTAGGCAACCAAGTGAGAAAATTTTTGAAGTTAAATAGGGCGTTTGGCCTGGTTGTCCATTTCTTTTTTTCTGTTCGATATAATCATGCTCAGTAAACAACTTGAAAAGTGATACTATGTCGAAAATCAGCATGTCACGTGACAATAAATCAGGCCTCTCCGAGGAGGAGCAGAGGCGGAGAAAGGTTGAGGAGCTCCGAAAAATCGGTGAAATACGTGGTTTTACTACAGAGTACCAACAAATTACAAAATGGAAAGTGAATGAGATATGTCACAAGAAGAGAGCTCCGGCTACTGATGAAAGATACAACAGAGCTGTTGAGAATTGGAAGATGTAAGTAATAAAAATACTTTTATACTATGTATACAGACATTACTGACTCCAGTTCAGATGGATGATGACTCAAGGTGAACCTGAAGACAGGTATTT